GAAATAACTCATCCTTTCCAGGCCACCCATGACACTTATGACTAGTTAATCCCCCCACCCCCCAAGCTCTTCAACAGGCGATATGATTATGAGTCAGAGCATTCATTTGGCTGGGCTAGCCCACAGGGAAAATTCCTTGGCTTTGAACTGCTTTCTGACTTGAAACTCTGATCAAAGTGATAAGATCTCCCCTCTTTTGGCACAAAAAGGCTAGCCACCGACCCACTGTTAGGTCTGGGCCTAAGCTCTACTATAAGCCCCCTGGATTTTTTCGGTTACCCTGGCTTGATGCTGGTGTGCAAGCGAAAACTTAGAGGGCACCTTTTTGCAAATTTACACATGTATATTGTTCTTTATTTGTTTCGAAACTGATTTCGTTACTTTGTGGACGTCCAGATCAACGAACTTCAAGCTTCCGAGAGATCATATGCAGACAAAGAAGAATTGAAAGTTCAGGGAGAGACCAGAGATCAGGTAGGCTTGTTAATAAACTATAATGATTTAATATTTTATCCATTCTTGTTTTTCCCTGATATTTGTTTCTATTATCCAAAGTCCCCAAACTGTTCGTCAGGTTGCTTGTTTTTTTGTCTGGTTGACGACTCATTGGACTTTGAAAAACTATATGAAGACCATAACAAGACATGAAAATTGTTCCCATGCCTGTAAAAATTAACAAAAAGTTATCATGTTTTATGCTCTCTGATAAAATTTGTTTGATGTCTTTTTATGGGTTGGTATAAGAGGGAAAGTGGAACACTATCATGAGGGTCTCAATGGGGTTAACCGATAAGCGTAAAACGGCCAAAAATTTAGTCGATAGCCCTAAAAATTGAAAAATTTTAACCGTTAGCCGTAAATAGGGTAAAAAACAGTTAATCGTAAAAGAAATTGTCACCTAGATTTGCTACTTTTAAGGAAGGTGCTAAACTCACTTATGGTTGCGTTTTTTTATTTCCTGGCTAGTGTGACTCCGTACGCACGTTAGGCGAAGCGCCTTTTAGGTGTTAACCTAGACCTACGCTCCATTTCCGGCGCTCTCTCGGGAAACTAATTTTTTCCATAGCGAAAGTGTGACTTCTTGCTGGGAATTAATATTTGCAATTTTCTGGAGGTCATGCCCTCGAAACATTAGTGAAACAACACGCAGAGATGTCACTGTTTGTAAAACACGTTGCCGATAAACAACATTTCCTTGTTTTTCTCTGACGCTACGGTACGTCTTCCCACGCAATCTCGGTCAAGGCATTTCGGTGGAGAACTAGCTCGGACCACGTGACCCGAGACACATTAGCCGCGCGGAATAATGCGGCCTACGGACAAGGCAACACAGGACACGGGAATTTTGTTATTGGCCGTTTTCACACTAAAGCTAGAAATGGATCATCCGTCTGAGACTGGCCTGTGTACAGTCGCGCCCTCCCCACAGACACTGCTTCTCCGATTTTTTCAAGGGGGAGGGGGCGGCTGTACACAGGCTATCTGGAACGGATAATTCCGTCTTCAAAAGTCAGGCGGATTGTTCATTCAAAATTAAAACTATTCCATTTTCAAATTAAGACGTACTACCTATCTGACGCGAATCATCAAACGGATAACCCGTCTCACACGAATAATCCTTCTCTAGTGTGAAAACGGCCATTTCTGTTATAATGAATGTCGCGCCCCGGC